CCTCGCCGCCCGGCGCTCCGGGGTCCGGGCCGGGCCTCAGCCCCTGCGCGAACGCGCGTGCAGACCGCGAGCGGGAGCGCTGCGCAGGGCGGCGGACTGAAGCGCCCCGCGCGCGCGGCTCGGTTTTGGGCTCGGGTCGGGGACAGCCCCCTGCTCCCCAGGCCTCCCGCGTCTTGGTAGCAAGGCTCGAGGATGCTGGCGACGCCGCCTCGGGTCTCGAGGGCAGGTTTCCCGGCTGCCCAGCTGACTAGTGCTGGACTGGAGGCTCCCTCCGTGCCGGGCTGCACACGGGCGTCGCAGCGCTTCTGTCTCCTTGGTTCTCACGGCCCTGGGGGTGACTTCTGCAGGTCTAGCTTCTCATAATCAGCAAAGGCATCTGCTGGGGTATTGCCACGTGGGTGGATGAGTGCTTTGGCTTTACACTAATGAGTTGCTCAAGCTGTGTCGTTCGTTCGTTTGCTCGTTGGTTGGTCAGCAAACTTCTTTAGCACTTTGTACTAGAAAGGGTGGGAGAAGGCCTGGAGTGGTACCACACCCAATAATCCCAGCGCTTGAGAGGCTGAGGCAGGATTGCCGAGAGTTCGAGGCCAGCCTGGACTGAATAATGAGACCCTGCCTCAAAAAGACAAACAACAAAACAAAAATACTCCAGAAAGAGCGGAAAGGGCAGGGAGCTGGCTGGGGTGTTCTTTGGGCATTTGATGGTGTTTTGAGGAAATTCTGACAGGTGAGGTAGTCCAGCACCATGCCTGACGTGGAGATGATGGCATATGTTGAATATCTGTGTTGAATAAATGAGTGGCCTTACTTGAAAATAATTGGCATATAAGCGTGGTGTGAGAGAGAGTATTCGTTGTGGGCTGTGTTTGTTTGTTTTTGTCGGTACCGCGGATTGAACTCCTGACCTTGCGCTTGCCAGGCAAGCACTTATTCTACTGAGCTATCTCCCTGGCCTGGCTGATGTGTTTTAAGACAAAAATTTATATAGAGAGTTACTGTTTATGAAAGAAATATATCTTACAAGGCAGGAATACAGTAGGGAAGTGTTAGGTTTGGTTTTTTTCAGAAATGCATCTTTTAATGTCTGTATCTTAGAATTTCATAGATCTCTCAGTATAAGCTCAGAATTTACAAAAGTGGAGGCTTGTGCTGGGGATATAGCTCAGCAGTGCAGCATCTGCCTAACAAGCACAAGGCCCTGAGTTCTATTCCTGGTATGAAAAAAAAAAAAAAGAAAAAGAAAAAGTGGAAGTTCCTCCAGGTAATAAGATGCTAAACTGGGGGAGTTGGGAGAGACTGCAGGAGGCTCTCCTTTAAGTCCAGGAATTGGATAGAAGCCAAATACCTATTTGCAATGGGTTCCCCCACCACCACCTGCAGTTTGTACCTTTCGAATTGAATGATCCCAGGCTTTGAAGTTGGAGAGGTCTGGGCTTAAAATCAGTGAGTCTGTTTGCTTCTGGTAATCTTGGGCAAGTTAACAGTGCCTTTTGAGTCTTTGTGGCCTTAGACAAAGATTTGCCCTAATGATTTGTGCATCATGGGGGTGTTGTGAGGGTCAGATAATAACGGATGTGAAAATTGCCCAGTGTAGGCCCAGCACCAAGACAGGGTTAGGAATAGGACAGAGGGGACTTGAAGCTGCTCTGGGTTTTTGTCTCACCTTTAGGATGGTCCATTATCATCTTAGGTCCACTTGCAAAGAGTTGAAACCTCAGGAGGATGAATATATATGAAGTGTGTATAAAGTGGTAGTATGATAATTATGAATGGTCTTTAGTAATTGTTAATAATGAGGATAATCATTTGTTACAAAATAGCCATTAGAATGACTCAGTTTTTTGTGTTAAAATAGCATGTTTTGTAAGTGGTTATAAGCCTGAGCTCAGGCTGGCCTCGAGCTCACTTTGTAGCCCAAGCTGGTTTCAAACTCAACAGTCCTCCTGCCTCAGCCTCCCTAATGCTGGGATTACAGGCGTGTACCACTGTGCCTTACCAGAACTACTTATTTTTGAAGAACCAGGAGATAAATCACCATGGGATTGTATGTGGTGATTGGCTATTCTCTGGGAGATAGCTAAGCAGTGTAAGCACCTGCTTAGCAAGTGCAAGTTCCTGAGTTTGATTCTTGGTACAAAAAAAAAAGTGAGAGAAATGCTGCTTTTTTCTTTCTGCAATGTAGGGAGACTGGAGAGGGAAAACCAAAGGTCAACATCCCCTATTGGGAAAGGCTCAGAGGTCTCTTTGTGGGGAACACTGCCATATGTAGGCACACAGTTGTCAAAAGAGAATAGTATGTAAAATAGGGATTCTGCCTACCTTCCTCAACAATGAAGTCTTCCAGCATTTTCTAGGTTATTTTAGGGGCCCAACTGTTGCATCAGAGTACCCTCTTGTACTCTGCATAAGGTGGCTGATCACTGAAATGTGCCAGGCAGCCTATTAGGTAGAGTGCTTGGTGGGCTTTCCATTGGTGGTGGGGGTGGGTGGGGGTGATTGTTTCTCCCTAATGCTACCATGTGCTCTTCTGCAGATGTCATGTGGCCTGTCTTTTGGACCGTGGTGCGTACCTATGCTCCTTATGTCACATTTCCTGTGGCCTTCGTGGTTGGGGCTGTGGGCTACCACCTGGAATGGTTCATCAGGGGAACGGACCCCCAGCCTGTGGAGGAAGAAAAGAGCATTTCAGAGCGCCGGGAGGATCGTAAACTGGATGAACTACTAGGCAAGGACCATACACAAGTGGTGAGCCTTAAGGACAAGCTGGAATTTGCCCCTAAATCTGTGCTGAACAGAAACCGCCCTGAGAAGAATTAATGGAAGACTCAGGACCCTATGGTCAGCAGGCTGTGACATGTCCTGCCATGGTAGCAACCGAGCCCCAGAACACATGTCTGGTTTCTTTTGCTGCTTATTCTGGCCCCTTCTACACACCACAGCCCCACGTGTACTGGCTGCTGCTTTACAGCCAGGGAGACACAGGAGCAGCTGAGGGCCAGCCAGGAGCAAGGCTGAATCTGCAGACGGGGTCCACAGCTGCTCAGGCTCCCAGGCTTCCATTGGTGCCCTGCCCAGAGGAGTACTATAAATGGACCTTGGCTCTCAGTCTCCCTGCGAAGGTTGTTTGGCCTGGAGTCGGAACCGCCGGGATTTGGGTGTTCTCTTTGGGAGGGGTCCCCATATGCCTAGTTCTAGTTTGCACTGGGAAGAGTTCAGAAATCTGCCTGGTTTACCTGACTAGTTTGCCCTGTCTTTTGTGTTCATTCTTCCTGCAATCCTGTTGTCAGCTCAGGAATGAGACTCCCTGGGAGGGAAAGTGCTTTTCTCTTGTCAGATGCACGGGCTGTTCTTGGGGCAGGGAGGAACATGTGCCTGCTGCGTTTGCCTGAACACAGTCACGCCTTCCACCCCTCATCACTGTGTACTGAACACCTTGATTAAAGTGGCATCTGAGAACCATCTTGATCGAATCCTGTCTTCTAGGTGGCATTTGGGGACACCAGTAGCGGTTAAGGGCTCTGGGACCTGGGAGCTTTATCTTCATGAGTGGTGGCTGTAGTCCAGGAGGCCTTGGCTCCCAGGAGCCTTTTTATCGTCATGATAACAGGCAGCAGCTCTTCCAGAGCCTAAAGCTCCGAGGCGATTCAGCAGGGATTAGAATGAGGTCACCAACACTTAACACAACTGCTCTTCAAATTTTGTTATCTTTTCACTACTTTTCTGTATAGCTTTTATTTATTTTTATTTTTATTTTTTTTTGCCGAGCCAGGGATTGAACTCAGACCCTCGCACTTGCCAGGGAAGCACTTATTCTACAGAGCCATCTCCCTGGCCCCTCATTTTTTTTGTTTTAAAGAGAAAAGTAAAAATAATGATAGAGAATTTCCAAACAAGATAATAGGAAATTAGCAGTGGTTATTATATTGCATGCTGTCATCCTCAAAGAAGTTGCTTAGATGCAGGCTGTCTCATAGAAGGCTTTTCCAGCAGTTCAGAGTCCGTGCTACAAAGAGTAAATGGCACTGGATGACATGGGATGAATAGTGTGGAGAGGCCAGGTGTACTAGCCAGTGTCTGTGGGAGGGGTGTAGGCATTAGTGCCCATCTGCCTGAGCTGCTGCTGCATAGTGAAGCAGACAGGTTAGCCTAAGTGCAAAGGGCAGCGTCCATCGTGCCCACTGCGCAGTGAATTTGCATGGAAAGTGGGTCGAACTGGCTCTGTCTTCTACCTCAACCTCTCCCCTGGGGGCCTCCTGGTGGTGGCAATGGGGAGGGGTAGAATTCTTGAACAGGTGGGGTGACAGCTGTAAAAAGGACAAGGACGCTCGTAAGAGGTGGCCTGAGAGAAGGATCATGTTCACTCTGGCTTCCCCTCAGTGTTGTGGTCGCCTAGTGGAGTTGAGCTGAGGGGCCATCACTTCTCACAGGAATCTGAGGAGAGTGGGGAAAGACTGCCACCCCAGGAAGGTGAGGTAAAGGCTCTGCCCAGCCGTCTCTGGCTGCAGATTCTGGCTGGTGGCATTCACAGGCTGCTGCTGCCACCCTGTGGTGGTCGGAAGCCTTACTAGGCCTGGGAATCGGGAATAACAAGTACTTCTTCCTTCCTTTGCATCAAGGACAAGTGGGCAGAGCACAGCCCTGCCACAAGGGGGCAGTAGCGATCCAGCTTCCAGTGTGGGGCTTGATCAGTGGTGGCACCAGTTTTCCTTTTTTTCCCCCTTAAAAATGTTAAAAATTCAGTGGAGTTTTAATTATTTAAGGTTGGCAGTTTATTGACAGTCTAAGCATGCTAACATACTTGGGTCCATTTGAACCAGTGGTGGCCACTTTGCTGTCTTTCAAAAATGCCCCTCGTATGCCAGTATGGTTTTGGCATACGGGAAAGGGCTGGTCCGGCCTGTTAGTGCCCCCAGCATTTCAGCAATATGGACAACAAAACGTCCCTTTTCCAATGACATCTGAGAACTATATACTTTTTTCTAACAGCTTACATCAAATATTAGGTCACTGAATTGATTTCCAGTGAAAACTATATGTACAGTTTAATATCAACCTAAGCAAAATACTTGGTTCCGGAAAGCCACGGGGAGCATACGTGAAAGATTTTTCCCACAGACAGTTTTAGACTTTGAGATATTTTAGTGTACCTCCCTCCTACCCATGTCTGGGTGAAGAAGTGCTATCTTTGGAAATCCAAGCTGCTCTTTTCTTCCAGTCTCGCTTTGTGTACCCCACTTTTAAATAATTTCATTTCCTAGGGCATGTCCTGGCTGAATTTCTGGCTCCGGCAAGTCTATTAATACTCTCCGCTTAATCTTCCTTTCCCATGGGCTGGCTGAGGTCCACAGCTGCCGTACCAAATAGAAGGTAGAGCGTGCGCTTTTTTCTGTGCACAGGTGACATCAAGTAGCAGGGCTTCCATGACCGTGGGCAGAGAGTGCATCAGGGTTGCTGGAGTGAACCAGGCATGGGCTGGTTTTCTTCTGTGCTTGCTAATTTGCCTTGGGAGTTATGTGATCCTCTTTTAAACTGGCCCAGCAGTTACAGTTCAGTGAAACACATCAGTAAGTAGATGTGCCCAACTCTTTTGCCCTCCACCCCAGGTCTTTTCCAAACCTCGTGATGGTAGTAGTTTCGGATCAGGGTTATCCTGCCCGAGCATGGCAGGAATCCCTTCTCTCTCCTCAGCGGCTCTGTATCTGGTGCTTTTCCATTCTCTCTAGACCCTTTCCTGTGCTGTGTTAGCACAAGTCAGCTGGGTAGCTGCCAGGACAAGCCGGCCAGGGAGCCCTTTGACTCGTCGTCGTCAGCTTCCCAGTGCCCTGGCTGATCAGACTGTTGACTGCGTGAAACAGCACGGAATTAGCCTCCCTGGAGTCTGGGTTGTGAGCCAAGCAGCTAGCTAGATTTAAAAAGCTCTGGCTTGCCTGGCTCACCTGCTACTTTGGGGTGGGTCTCTGTGTTCATAGGTTGCCAAGCCAGGGACATGCTAGAGGGTAAAAATTCAGGTCACTGAATTAATATTGTCAGACTTAAGAATATTGTCTCAAACTAAATGACCTTACTGAAGTCACTGAGCCTTTCTTAGCCTCAATGTCCTCTATAAAACAGGGATAAGAATTTTGCTGGGTTGTCCCCAGGAAAATGTAAATGTGAAGTTGTTAGCGTGGTCCACAGCAAACACTGGCTGCTTTAAGTCTGTTGCAGGAAGTGCTTATATTTCCTACAATAGTTGGATATATCATTGTGATCCTAGGAAATGGCAGGAGAGACCAATCTTGGCTGAGTGAGAACAGGTATTCTTTCAGGTCTGGCTGAGGGCATTTTAGGAATATTTCAGGAAAGGTTTTCCTTGCCTAAGGACCAAGCTGGGGTGGGATTGCACGCTTCAGCCCTGGGTCACTATGTCATTCTGGCAATGCAGCCTGCATTCACAGGTGAGAAGTGGGGAGAAGGGTGGGGGGCCTGCCCCTTAGCTCAGTTCTTTTAGTGGCTGCTTCAACAAAGCCATCAGGCTCAGGTTGCTGTGGTTTGATCCCCACAACTCAAGCAGGCCAAACCTGCCCTGAGGTCATTCAGAGCCAAAAAAAAAAAAGTGGGGAGAAGGGTGTCCACAATACCCAACAGGTCAAGATTCAGGAGCAGAGGTAGGTGACGGAGGCAAGGGAATTTGGTGTTTAGGCTGTGCCTTTGTCTCTCCTGCCTTTGGTTTCCCCACCTGCAGAATGGGGATGTGAATATATTCCCTACCAGCGGGGTGCAAAGAGTGAGAAGCTGCTACACGTGCTTTGAAGACAGGCAAGTGCTGGCTGTGATGACCCTGGAAAACTTCCCTTTTATCTAAGTGGGATGGCAGTCAGTCTGAACAGTGAGATAAAAATAAATTGCTCTTTGATTCCTTTGCTGTACACAGTCTCTTAAAAGTATTTGCTAAATAGAAGTCTTTGGGGGAATCAGCTTGAAGAGTATAGTAATTGGCATATTGGTTTTCATCCTGTTCTAGCAGAGCCTCTCATGGACTTAAAAAAGAGTTGATTCCTTTAAAATTAAATGTGTTAACATTGTGTATCTGTTTGTCAAACCTTTTTTACATAATGCAAAGGTAAAGCCAGGCTTTTAAAAAAAAAATGCCAAACAGGTCTTCCAAATTACTGAATTTTTAAAAGCCTCTAGCATTCCAGCAAGGGCAGGTTTTCCGTCTGGATGAGTCCAAAGGTGTTTGTGTCGTACGGCCTCTCCTGCTGCCCTGCTCACTCGTGTCCAAGTCCAGCTCCACTGTGCATTTCTGTTTGCTTCTGAGCTTGAGCTGCCAGGTAAAGCTGAAGCGCCTCACATAGCCATGGTGTCTAGCCTTCTGCATCTGTGGGTTCTTCGTGCAAGAGTGTGGCAGGGCTGGGGAGATGGCTCAGTAGAATGAGTACTTCCTGGCAAGCACAAGAGCATGAGTTCAGTCTCCGGTTCTGCAAAAAAAAAAAAAAAGAAAGAAAAAGAAAAGAGTGAGTGACACTCCATAGTGATCCTTTTTAAAAGAAGGATCCGTAAGCTTCCAGCCCTATCCCTGCTCCCTTAGCTTTTTTGCTGTTTGTTTGTTGCTCCCTACAATGCCTGAGCCATGCCATTTTGGCCAAAAGCCTTTGTAATGGCAAATTTGGTGTCCTTGTTTTGGTCCTGGTCACACTGTAGCTCTTTGCAGCACTTAACATTCTCTCCTTGAGCTTCTCCCTCGACACGACCTCCCCCTCAGTGTCCCTTTCCAGCTTTGCTTTGCCGTGGTCCCCTCCTGCCCTCAGTGGGAGTGTTCTTCAGCTTCACTCTTGCCTCTGCCTGAATGTCTTGTTGGCAGACTTGACCTCACTTCTGGTTCAACCCCAGTATCTACCTTGCTATCTGCCAATGTGTATTTTTACTTTGGGTTGTAAAATGTACATGATCTGGGGGCCTGCCCCTTAGCTCAGTTCTTTAAGTGGCTGCTTCAACAAAGCTGTCAGGTTCAGGTTGCTGTGGTTCGATCCCCACAACTCAAGCCAGCCAAACCTGCCCTGAAGGCATTCAGAGAAAAAAAAAAAATCCTTAAAACGTACATGATCTAGAACAGTGTATTATGCCCCTCTGCCTGTATTTACTATGTGCCGTGATGGTTAAAGCAGTGACCTGGGTGTGAAACCTAACTCTGTACTCTAGTTGTGGGACTGAGAAGTTCATTCAAACCCTCCAAGCATCATCTGTACAATGGGATTACAGTAATTCTGTCTGCCGCCCAGGGCTGTGAAGACTAAGACTGTTTAAATGTCACTCAGCACAGGGTCTAACAGCCATCTCCTCCACCTTGCTGCTCGTGTCCTTTCAGGCCCTCTTCCCACAGGCCTTCATGGATTCTGTCGCCACCTGTAGTGACCCATTTCTGCCTCTGGAGTCTGTCTGACACCCCTACTTTCAGCTCTCATCATCTCTTACCTGTAGT